GAGGTTACGTACTAGTGAAGTCCAAAGAACTTACCCCTACATCTCTATGATATTATGGCTTGGATCCCTTTGTCAATGTTAGTCTGAGGGTATTTTTCGAGATCACAAAAGCCACACTATCTGAGCCGATTAAAGTAAATTAACAACATAATTTTCTTTTCTGCTATTCATATCTATAAAATAAATCAGGTGTTAGGTTTTGAAAAGCCTTAAGGTGCAGTTTAATTTTTGCAGGTGAAATCCATTCTTTTCACAAGGAATCCACGTGATGATTTGGTGTAAGATTTCCCCAAACAACAATGGGTTCAAGTTGGTCACCGTGATTCGCTACATTGACCAACAGAAAGCTGCTTGAGTTGAAAGTGACTTCAGTGTGAGCTGGGCTTCATACATTGCTACACTATTGACAACAGACAATGAACCATTCTTGGTCGTGAAATGTAGCCAAAATTGAGCTAATGTGACTAATGTGAACTAATGTGTCATTTTTGCAAACAAAACTACTTCACATAGACTAAATTAAATAGTTTAGCTAGACTAGATCTGACAATATTCAAAAGACTAAAATGTAAGAGTAAATAGAAGGCTGACTTAAACCACATGGCAATATGTTGCCAAGTTTAACATTGGCATTTCATTCTCATTTTAATGCGACCCTATTTTCGGCAAGAACTGCAAAGAACGTGAATGAGGACACGACAGCTTCCCAAACAGAAACAATGAAGTAGAGCTGAACTGAAGGAATGAAAGAAAGAGGGATGAAGAGAGAAGCCAGTTATGAAAGGAAACTATAAGAGACAGGGATGTTGAATGACAAGTCATTCTTTCATGGCCACAAACATAAAAAAAACTGTTGAAACTAATTAACTGGTGAGGTAGACAGCAGACAAATGGGCTTCAGGGGCCGTCATTGTGTCACTTGTGTCGTTTGTTTCAAGAGCTTGTCGGTAGGAGCTGTCAGATTGCTAGCGCTTCATTGATTGGTGGGCAGGGAGGCTGGGCATTCTCATGCTTACAGCCTCTGCATTATACAGATGATTTACACACCGAAGCAGCTGTTCGTTCTGGCAGCGGTTCAGACCTCACATAAGTAGTTTCAAAGCAACTCTAATGGACTCAAAGCTGGAACACGACCACAGCCAGCCAACCGAGACAAGTGATACAGAAAGCACTCCGCAAAGTGTGGGTCAACATCAGACATTCATTCTTGTTCTAATTATGTGTTGATCTTCAGCAGTTTACATAAAGTTTTTTTTTTTTTACACGAAGGTGGTGTTACCAGTTCATGTTGTATAAGGGAACCATGCTCTACCTTGTTGACAATTCTCCAAAACGGAAAGGCAAATTCACTAAACAATTTTACTTAAGACATTTAGGGCCCTATTTTAATGATCTGAAATGCAAGTATCACACGCAAGTAACTTTGTGGGCGGATCTCGGGCGCTGTTGCTATTATACCGGCAGAATAAATTACTCTTGCGCCTGACGCAAATCTAAAATGGGTTTGTCTGAAGTAGCTACATTACTCATAGGTGTGGTTTGGGCGTAACGTGCAATAAACCAATCAGAGTGTCATCTCACATTCCCTTTAAAAGCAGGCACGCTTGTTCCATGGCGGATTGCTATTATAATGGCGGATTTGCCAGACGCATGCCAGGAGCGGTTCACAGCCGAGGAGACAGACGTTCTCGTCAGGGCCATAAAAGACAGAGAAGTGACATTGTATGGGGATGGGAGAAACACAGCCAAATTAGCTTCGGTTAAACAGGCTTATAATAATTTGGGTAAATGTGTAAGCTAGATTTATGCCTATTTTTTCACATCTTCATGGACACCACAATGATTTCCCTCGTGTGTTAATATTTGTCCTTGTAATATTGTATGGTTTGCAAAAAATGAGAACTGCTGCGTCTGTGTAGCCTAGATGAGAGAAGCAAAGTGTAGGCTATGCGTGGTGTTCACACGCTACATTATGGCCAAGCATGCGCCCTGAATAAAGCTTGCGCCACTGACTTTAGACTAGGTTTTTCCTGATCTGTGGCGGAATCGTTTTCTGAAACTGCAAAGTAGCACCAGGGAACGTTTGCGCAGGAACACGCCTCCTCTTTTCGCTGAACCGGGAGCGCAAGTTCATTCCCTAATTTACCGACGTGCGTCTTTGGAGGGGAAAGTCCGCTGTGCGTCGGGTGCAAAATAGGAATGATACATGCGTCGGTGTACAAAGTCAATTGTGCTGGGTGCTAGGTAGGGCCCTTAGAGTGTTAAAGGAATAAATAACAAAAGAAAAAAATTTAAATGTGTTAAAATTGTGTTTTTACTGTATTTTTGATCAAATAAATGCAGCCATGGTGAGCTAAAGAGACTTTTTTCTGAAACATTATAAATCTTTCCCACCACAGACATTTAAATTGTAGTGTATTTATGTAAAAACTTTTATTTGTTTGTGTACATTCTCTGATCATGACAGCAGCTTCAGAATCATGCAGGAGTGATGCTGTGCAGTTTCAGTAAAATATGCCAAATCATGGAAATCTGCTGCATCCGTCACAACCCAGCACTCAGAACCAATTCACAGGATGGATTTGTGCTGGCAATGTTTGTGCTGTCATCTGATTAGCATAATGTCTTTGGTGAATCGGCACTTTAACCATGCAGACAGTGTGCAAGTAAACTGTAACAGCGGGTGCGCTTCCTTCTTCGTGATTTCCCCCATTTATGTTGATACAAGGAAATAATTTAGTAGACCTTGGAATTTGTGTCCCAGTGCCAGCAAGGTATAATTTATTCGACTGATAAAATGCCAGGCTTTTGTTGTCTTTTTTCCATATGTGATTGTCTTTCCATGCATTGGCTTTCCGCACCTGCCAGTCTAAAGTAATAGCTTTTAATCTGTGCATCAAAGCTTGGATAAAGAGCCTCTAAGGAGAGAGGGGATATGGATGAGAAACTCTGTTTCTTCCCCCTCCCTCCATGGTTTTCTCTTTCTCATAGCTTTTGCTGCTGTATGCACTCCATGTTATCAATAACTGGGCTTCACCACTGACAAAGACAAATCACTTTTTTATTTTCAAGAAAGACGAAAACGATCTAGTCTGTGTGAGCTTGCCCATTTGATTACTTAAAATAGTTACCTCAACTATCTGTTCTGCTTGGCATTGGCAGCAACATGCTGTCCGTTGAATAGCACAGTTCGTCCTAGCATTCAAATAGCTTTAATCAAATGTGTGCGCTCTGAAAATAATTTGCTGTTTGCTTTCTGTAGAATCGTGTCATCTTAAAGACATAGGTTATCCATAAATGAAAATTATGTTATTATGAACATCTTCATGTTCTCCCGTATTTTTTTTCCTTAGAACACAAAAGAACAATTTTGAAGAATCGCTACACGCTACACTAATTTCAATACAACAGATCATAGTGACTGTGGCTAAAAACACCAAACAAGCACCATAATTATAGTCTATACTATATTCCAAGTCTTCTGAGGTCATGGGATAGCTTTGTGTGAGAAACAAACCCAAATTCATTAATAATTGGGTATACTAAAGTTATTATTCACTGATAATCTTCCCCTCCAGTGAGCTGTTAATAACGATCTGCTGCTACTGAAACATTGAGTTGATTAGTGAACTGGATCAGACTGATTCATGAACAGATTTAGTCAGATCTGTGAACTAGATCAACAGATTCAATGAAAAGACCGTCCATGAATCATCAAATGACAATGGGTTCTCATATATAATAAGAGAATGTGACTTGCTAGTTGCAATATGCAGATGCACAAATGACTTTTGAGAGCTACAGTACAGTGGAGGGGACGACTTTCAATCACTGCTTCCGAATGGTGATTTCCCTACTAGATAGTATGTGAAAAACAGTATGCCAAAAGAGTAGTACGTCCGAAATCATATTCAAAAGGCAGTAGGTGAAAAAATGTCTGGATGATATAATACTTTCACACAGATTCTACTTTACTTGGAGTTACAGTATGAATGGCAGTGATTTAATGCAACCAGCGCCGTGAGTTACACGATAACGCCATGGCAGATGTTGTACATCCGGTTTTTATTCTTACTATTCACATTGATACTATATAGAAGATACTTTTTAATGGTACTGAACTACTATACCAAATGTACCTGCTCAGACTGTATGCGATTTCAGATGCAGCTAATGACTTAAATTTCAGTCTGTTCCTCACCCACATCTATCATATGACTTCCTTGCAATATAATGCACAATTCATATAGACTACTTCTGTGGTGAGTTTAGTGGGTTTTTTGGTTGTTGTTGTTGTTGTTGTTGTCAGGTTTAGAAAGGCATGAGAGTGAGTATAACTATCCCAGAGTCCTTCTTGAGGGTGAAGTGTTGTTACTCCATCCTTGTTCACCTGCTCTATGGGCAGCATTTTTAGCCTATATGCCCCAGTGACAGGAAGCACCTGTGGTGCGGAGATCTTAGAATGCTCTTTATCTCAGTTCCACAGCACATTACACATTTCAAGCAGCCCGCAAATGAACACGCAGGACGTCAGCTGTGAAACCGACCTGTCGATACCGAACTCGTCTTCCCCACTGAGAGAGTGAGATTACCCAGCTGATTGGAAAATCAACAGGAGGAAATGACACTGGCTTTATGGGTTATTTCTTAATGCTTGCATTTGAGTCTATTGATTGTGCCATAAGAACATTTTCCTGTTTCCTCCTTGCACAGTATGTTGCACAGGTTAAGCAAGACTCGAGCTGTATTGTGTCTAAAGTTTAAAATATTTATGTATTTATTTATCCTGATTTGATCAACTTTCTTATTTCATTGATTATTTGACCAAGAAACATTAACAATTAATGGAAAGTAGGCTTGTTAAGTAGTTTTGAGATTGTAGTCTTAGGAAATGTTAATTGACTTCCTTTAAAGACGGTTTTCAGGATTTTCTTTATGTATAGATATAAATATTATTATACAATATTAGTTTTTGTTGACCTCTGCTCTTTCGTTTGCAGATTAGAAGAACGCTGCTCCCTGTGACTTCGGTGAGAGAGAAAGTCTGAGGCCAGCTTCAGCAGCAAGCTACCTTGAGTTAAAGGTTAGTCTTTGTCCCGTGGCTTCAAAGACTAGACGTACACACACAGAGAGATACGCATGCATCCGTTTGGTTTCATTAGAAATGCCAGGGGGCTGGAGAGGTTCCCTGTCCATTCACAGCCAAACACCTGCACGGCTTTCATCCCCTATCTGTCCACTCAGCCTTTATCACCTGCCACCCAGCCAACCACAGCACACGCGCGCACACACACACACACACACACACAGCACACGCGCGCACACACACACACACACACAGCATCTAAACAAGCCATACACACCAGACATGCCTCACGCACTGCTAATTCGCACAGTCACATGGCACACACCAGTCAGAATACCACACAGAACTTCTGTGCACAGCTCCACACAGCATGCTTTCACACAACACATCCTGTTAAAAAGACCATCTTAGACCAGAATAAATTTTCACTGCGTCCTAACCAAGTGTGATGTAGCAATGCGGCAAACAATAACATTTCTTCTATGTTAACCAAAACCAACAATTTTTATTCATTTTAAATTATATATATAATGTTATAATCATATTTTGATGTTTTGGTATGGTATTTTTTTCTTGCCATTTTTAACTGAGCTTAAAATTCTGTTTAAAATACGGTAACGCTTCCTTTTACAGTACAGTACTTACGTGTACTTACAGTGTACTTACCTAGAAAGTACTGGCTAATATAAGGTAAGTACATGGGTTAGGGGTAGGTTTAGGGGGAGGTTCAGGGTTAGTACCTAGTTGTTACCCAGTAATTATAATTACTATAATAAGTACATAGTAAGTACATGGGTAACAGGACTGTAAAATGAAGCGTTACCCAAAATACTTTAAGGTTTGCAAGGAACATAATAAAACATAATAAGCAGACAGGTTTCAATAACTTATTATGTACTTATCAAATATCATGGAAGTCATTGAAACCTAACCTGACTGCTTAGGACACATAGCCATGCTCTTGACCAGCAGAACTCAATTGTCCAAGGTAATCTTGGTGGTTAAGCTAGTCAAGCAGTGTCCCGTATACATAGACCTCCACCTGGTTCAAATACCTCATTTCGAGTCACTGAGAAAATCAATACATGTTCCAAATAAAACAAAAACAGTGTGCTCTACCTCTGACAATCTGCCATTCTCATTCAATATGTCAAATGCAAAGGCTGCAACCCAATTTCAAAGCAGACTATTTGCTCTCATGTGGGAGGTGCTGGAGTAAAAAAAGGATTGTGTGACTTAGCTATCTGTTTCCCCTTCATGGGTTAAAGAGTTTGACTAATGCAATATTGATTTCGCTCTCTGGATGGAGAAGACACAAGCACAGCTTATTGAAATATGGATAGTCAAGCCGCCAAGAAAATATTAAAAGACCTCAGGCGGAGGGGGACGTCAACATTAAGCTGGATTTTACCCTTCAGCAGCAGAAAAAGTTTAAACTCTTTGTATTGATAAAGGATAAAGAAAGGATTTCAGCGGTTTTTAAAGCCGTTAAATGTCCACATTTATGTGGTTCTCTGATCTTTTCATTGCGTTTTAGTAAACAATGTGTTGTCCTTCAAAGTTTCGAACTGAGTAGGTAGAATAGCCCACACATTCTGCAAGGACGCTGTGAGACTGTACTATGTGAGGTCAGACCATGCACATGTTCAAAGAAGAAGGTTAATAGAACAACAAGCGCACATATATATGAATTATTGTGGATTTTAATTGTGCAAAGAATTAGTTAACACTGTTATACTTGTGTAAACCTGCAGGTTAAAGGCTCTGATTGTCATTATTAACAATATAATCATGCAAGCTTAGCATCTTGTGTTAGCATCTGGCCTGGTAATGGAAGCTGAGTAGCCATTTGGGGAGGCATTGTGTTTGATTCAGACCTTGTTAAAATGCCATTTTGTTTTGAACGCAATGGGCTCTGCACCTTCAGGCAAGTGCGGAAGGACTCGGAGTGTGGTCTCAGAGCAGGATTGGCGCGAACAGTCCAATTTTTCATCGTTATTGGTCATGACATATCCAAAGTGGCAGAGCGTGGGCTTGAAGGTGAACGGTGGATGCTTCAGCTGGGCAGAGAACTCTCACGCCACCACATTTGTCCCTGCAGGGTCTTCTACACAGCCGTGACGACAACACAATTCAATGCTGGCTATTACAGCCAATGAGGTTAAAAACAAGAGCTCACAGTTGTTCTTACACATATCTCATACTTTCTTTTCGCATCCTCAACCTAAACTAGTGTTAGTAGCAGTATAGCATTAAGCTAGAAGCCAAGGTTGTGCATCATTCAATTGAATGCCTTGTAACCCTTGTGAAAAAGAAACACACTTCTATAGTATGCTTTAGACTGTTAGTCAACACATCCAAATATGTGTACTTCTTTAAAACACAACAAAAGATTATAATAAAAATCATTTGAAATGGACTTTAATTATTACAATGTGCACTTTTAAAAAATTTACTTAAGTAGCTATGTTAAGAAACATAGTCATGAATGTATACTCTAAGCGTACTTAAGTGCCCATTTATTAAATTGATGTTATATTTTTTACATGTACAGTTTTTACGTTTACTACAAGTGTACGTTTAATGCAACTTTTAAGTGCATTACTTTTTCACAAGGGAAATTCCCAATAAATTAATTCATTTGAACTGCCCTGGTGAAAAATGAATATGCTAAGTATACTTGCAGTCAGACTAATTATCAGTATAGTAGTAACTAAATTGTAGCAAAGCATAATTTTAAGTCTATTTAGTGTACTATTTGTGTTATAAGTACATTACAAATGTTTTATGTGTATGTCTAAGCACACGAGCAATATTCCATGATATATTATTTTACAGGTAATAGTATATGCTCAGTAATACCTTTGGCTTATTCCAAATACTAAAAATTACACATTTTGTCTTCAATAACAATATACTTTGTTATTACTTAGCTATACTTACTATACTTTGAATGTTGCACAATCTTACACAATACAGTCTTTTAAATGTGCTACCATTTAACTACATTTTAATGAATTACTTGGGGGACTTTTTCCCAACGCTGAATGGATTTGTTTTCAAGGCCATTAAAATAAATAAAATGTAACAGCATCACTAATGAAGAGACATATTTCATTAACAAGTCCAACGGTTTTATTTAAACTTCACATGGTTTTTTCAACAAAACTGAACAAAATAAACTTACCATGTTTTCCATTAAAAGAACACTGAAAGAAAAAAAAAAACATTATTATACATAAATACAAATTACACATTTTCTGATGAGCTACTCATTATTACACTTGCGTCTGATGGCTGCTTACACATCAGAGGCAGTTGACTGCAGAAACAAGTGAAGAACAGCAAGAGATGAGGTCAGGGAGCATGTTCATGTATTCACGTTTACATTAGCCTGTCTAAATCCTGTATTGAGCCAATACTATTTTTGAACAGTAAATGAGGATTAGCAGTAGGGAACTATATCAGTACAGTATGTCAAAATTGTTTCCAGTACATAGTCAAACATATACAGTATACGACTCTTTATGAATTAATATCGTACAGAAGACGGGGCAGTTTGACCAAGTGTCTACATGTGCCATAAATCACTACCACAAACAAAAAAGGAGATATCTTGCTGAAACCCTCATTTACCATTTGTTAAAGCAAAGTGAATTTTGACAGTTTTTCGTTTTTCAGATTGAATGCAATAATTTAATAACCATATACGGGAAATAACTGGTAGGCTACGATCAACACTTACCTCCAAATAGCAGGACTTTTTCTCCCGTTCTTTTCGGGGTCGTGTAGGCTATTTTTTTTATTTTTTTTGACAATGAATAATATAGGGAGAATCCTGAACCGGCTCTTGTATCTATACTCTTGTGTTTGATATTTGGTGTTATTTGAAAAACACCATAGCGATTGCATATATCTGAACAGCCTTTCTTCTCTGTGACAAGCATCCTTCAGACAGTTGTGCAGCACTTTGTGTTTCCTGAAGTAAGGTATATCGGCTGTTTTAAAAGCGCCACCTCCTATTACAGAGTGAATTATTTTAGTTTAGCTTGTCTGCCATTTATTATACATTGATTTGAACAGACAAATCGCATGTGAAAATCAGACCAACTTTTCGTGCCTAACCATCGTATTGACCTACTATGTATATTAAGAAAGTAAATGGGATCCATTTTGATTTCATCTGGACTTCAACAAAAAGCAAGTGTTATTGATCCTTCCACAATGACCCACTTACATGTTTAAGCACGTTTTCCCATTATGAAGGTTTCCGCACACAACTGCTGTGTTTTACAAGGAATCTATCGATGTCCCATTGCTGTGGGACAGGGCCATTCGTTTAGGCATCATGATATATTACCAAGGCCCGGCTGTGTTGTTGGGTCATTAGTTTACTTAATACTGGATCCCGGGGAGTGCTAAAATACTGTGTTCTCTCACACATGCATCACCTGCTGCGCTCGCATGTGTGCTTCCAGCCACCATTTTGCCTTTTCTTTTGCAAAGGCCTCTGAGAAAGAGGAAAACCAATATATGCTATGATGACTTAAGCCTATATGAGTAGATTTTAACCTGGCACCTCTCATCATTTCGGACTGGCAGGCAATTAAGGATGTGAAATACATTTTAATATTACTGTATGGCAATGAGAACAGATTCCAACGCCCAGTTCACTGCTTTGGAAACACAAACGTTCAACACTTATTAGAATGTTGACTTAAAGCAAAAGTGCAAACAGGTAATTTTTAAATGCACTCAAAAAGAAAATTCAGTTTTCATTTACTGAACCTATACCAAATCTTTCCTTCTTATGTAACTCTCAAAAGTGTGTTTGCATAAATTACATTATTAATTTTTAGGTGAACTGTCCCACTTGAAAGAATGTAGTAAAGAGTTGATACCAATTCAAGTAAACGCATGACACATAGGCCTATAATCAAACAAAGTCTATTATATATAGTACGCTACCGTTCAAAAGTTTGGGGTCAATTAAAATG